GATAAGCTCAAGGACTTGTTGTCTCAGTCTTAAGGTCTTTTCACATGTTAAGTGACACCGACTTAATACCCGCTTGGATCCATGGGATTCTCACTGCATTCCCCATGTAGATAGACAGGCAAACCAGCATGCCGCGAGTAAACACCAGATGCTATGTGCAGTAACCATGGAAATGGCTTCTGTGCACTACTGTATCTGTTCCGGTACAACTGTATTTTCTTTATAGGTTATAGCAACATAATAAAATATATCTTCTTGAAAATACTGAAAGAAAGAGAAAGAGTCCATAACTACTAAATTTCAAATTAGTTAATTTACTAGTGAGTGTAGTTTAGTTGAGTATGCTAGCTATTTCTCTGTGAGTAGGCCTAGTGTTTAGTGTAGTGTAGTGGTTCTCAAATTTCTTTTTTGGGGGGGCTGGGGGTGCATAGAGCCACTGAAGGGGGGGTGGGTGGATAAAACGGGGAAAAAATTTATTGGAACTAAGCTGTAAAAACTTCATGTATGTAGGTAAATAAAAAGACAAGAGTTTGCTGATGCTTATCAAATTCAACTTGGTTCCTTTTTTTAAATTTTTGCTCCCCAATACCATTTATGATTGATAAGAATTCAGTCCATTTTCATGAGGTGGGGTTGCATGAAACTTTTTTGGTTTCTGATGGGGAGAATGACAGAAAACCACTGGTGTAGTGAGTTGAAGAGTGGTGCTCTAGTTGTGTCGAGTCATTAGATTACAAGAGAAGGCAGCAAAGGTCATTGTGAGTAGATGCTATCCACACACACACACACACACACACACACACACACACACACACACACACTTTATTCTTTAGTTTAGGGCATTTTAGTTAGGTGTCATCTTGTGTGCGGCTTTAAATGTTTGCTTAGTGACATTTAAAAATACCAAAATTGATTTGAAATCATGTCTTCCCAGTGGAAGTAAACGAATGCATGAAAGGGAAAATCCATCCTAAAGCCTTTTAGAGCTACCATCCTGCAACAATGCTAAATAATTATACACTGAGGAATCCATCACAAAGTAGGCAGTTGACCACAATGCAGCGCAATTGCTAGATTTGTTTTGAGTAATAGTCAACACCTTCTTTTCTTTGTTGTGACTATAAAACTTTATTGTTATAAACAAAACGGAAAATTGGAAACTGTGTTGCCATTGCAGTTTTTCTCTTCTCCTTTATGTAGACCGATAGCTGCATGAAAGAAGTTATTCTCTGAGACTTTTCAAAAGCCATTGTGGGAAATGTTGAAAACCAACACATGAAGTAGAAGTAGGTGAGGCAGACTGAACCTGGTGCACCAGAAATTTCAATTATCACAAATCCCTACTGGTGAACAGAGAATATCACAGACTGATGACAGTTTTTTTCTTTTAGAGTAAAATAGAAACCATTTTCTTGGCAGCGTACTTTGCCATCATCTCTGTGATATCTTTTGATACAAAGACTCACTGACCAGAATGAATGTGCTACAAACAGCTCCCTGCTATGGACCCACGACTTCATCTCATGATTTTTATCTGTTTTTATGATCTCACTTTAGAGTTACCTCTTGGTATCAATTGGGTCTGTCAGGAAGTCAACCTGCTCTGTGTAGCTTTCTAACTTTCATTAAATCCTGTAAAGCTATGCAGTGGCCAACAGAAGCAAGATGTGGTTGTACTGGATAGCTGCATGCATGCATCAAGTCTGTGCTGAGTAATAACATGCTCTTAGTGAAAACAAATGCAGGTTAAATAAAGGCTGTAGAAGATTCAGGACAGGTAAAGGAAGTGGGTTGTAGTAATATGTTCCCACATTGCATGTGCATTACCTGATCAATATCAATTTTATTGTTTTAGCCATGCAGACAGCATAGCAATATGGATGCAATGTTGGTCAGTGTGTTGGTTGGTTGGTCCACCACTTTGGTCCTGACTCAAATATCACTACTGGAATGATTGTCATCTTGTACAGACATACATGGTCCCCAGAGGATGTCTTTGGTGGTCCCCTGACTTTTCTTCTAGCTGCACCACAAATGTTTCACTTATGATTGACATACATAGGGTCCAGCTGCATCACCTTCCAGACATTATCTGCTGCCATTCTCGCCAAATTCACAATACATTTGTTCTCATAAACATATTTTTCTGTTTCTGTTGTCTGACAACGGAAAAAGTATAAAATTTGATTGCAGATTATAAACACTATGTTGACCAGCAGGCATTACCAATCTGCTGAGCAGCTGATAAAATCATTATTTTATGATCATGGCATCTTCAAATAGAATAAACAACTGTATTGACATTTAAAATCAGTGATCAGTGAGGAGGTATGAAGCAACAAAAAGTTGTCATATTCAAGTACAACCAAAAAGCATCTGCTGCCACATCTAGATAAGCTGCGACTTTATATTTATACTTATTAAACACACTCATCATCGTCAAAACAACTCTAAACTATATTATAAATGTGGCTATCCACTTCTGAAACATTAGCAGTGGACACTGAAACTGCAAAAGAGCCAAAGTACAGCTGGAACGGGGCGCAGCCAGATTCTGTGTACATTTGGTCTTATTCCGTGAAATATCTCAACATCGACTAGATGGATTGGCACAAAATCTTCAGATATTCATGGTTCACAGACCATGTATTCTACTTTTCCTTCTGCAATACCATGAGGTTGACGGCGACATTTGTGGCTTTAAGTGAAATGGCTTGACAACTATTGGATGGATTCCCGTGTAATTTAGACATGCCCCCCTCAGGATGAATTGTAATATTTTTGGTGAACCTCTGGCTTTTTATATAGCACCAGCATCAGTTTAAACCTTTCCAATATGTTGGTTTAAATGCCTGATCACTGATGAAAACTAATGACATTCCCACCAACACTATACCTGGCATGATCAGCATGTTACCACTGACATTGTGAGCATATAAGCACACTGACATTAGCACGTAGCTTAAAGTACTGCTGTGTCTAAATGCAGCGTCACAGAGCCTCTACCGTGGCTGCATACACTTCTGCATTCAAAAACAATGAATAAAAAAAGGCACTAACACAAATATACTGACAGACACTGAGCCAAAGCGAAGCTTTGTACTGCTGATTCTCATCTTGGAGCTCATTAACTGACTCTTCAAAGTTCATAAACCACATTGGACTTGAGACAAACAAAACAACAAGAAAACTAACTGCATGAAAAAAAGAGCATACATTGAAAATGCTAAAGAGAATTTATTAGTAGACACTCATCAGCCAGAAATAATAACCACCTGAAGAATGTCTTCCTGAAATACACCATTTGATTGGCAGTGTAAAATAAGGCAAAGGGCTTAAGATCATATTTTATACACTTTTGCACCAACGATAAACAGTTATACATTCACTTGTTACTGTAATTACGCTTTTGATAAATTTGTCCATACACCCACATACCAAGAAAACTTTATTAGCAGGGGGCAGAGGCTGTCAGAGTATTTGCAAGAGTAATACTCATCATTATGCAATAGCTGTTTTGGCCAGAGATTGGCTATACCTACACTGAATCTGACCATAACCTAAAGAAAGATTAAATTTTGGAATTGCAAAAGCCAACGCACTATACTGACAAACGTTCATACAATTACCATCACCGTAAAAGGGTAATACCACCAAAATCGTTAAAGGTTGTCAAAAGTTGATTATAGTGTGTATAGATTTAAGCAACATAAATTTACCTTTACTCATAGGCAAATATGTCTCTTTATAAAGTATTTGGTTATATAAAACACATTTCTAGTGAGCTGCAAAGTGTATAGCTGAAGAGTGATGGCTACTTTACAGGAAACTAGCCAAAGGTAGTTCCCAGCATCACAATAGCTCAGAGTTCATGTTTGCATCGTGCCCTTGTAAAAATATACTGTTACCCACTTCAGTAACTCGTTTTCTTGATTTCTTTTTAGTTTATTTTACTTTGTTTTTTGTTAATTCAAGATATCTGTTTGTAAAATTTAACCCAAGTATTCACTTGCATCTATTATTTTGGTGTCATAGTAATATTATTATTTAGTCACTTCTTCATTGCACCCACTTGTACAGTAAGCTTAAACTTTGAAACAAGAAGCTTTAAACTCAACTTTAATCTGGAAAAACCTTGGCTGAGGTCTCCATACAGTCAATATAAATAAAGAAAAATTAAATCTTGTAGCATCTTCAATGTGTTTAGTCTTACTGTATAAAGAGTTGTAATAGATCCCATAATTTAAAAATGTTAGAGTGCTCAAGATCTAAGATTTCCAGTGCAGTTTCCACTAGTTCACATTGTTATATGGTCCAAACTGCAAATCAAAAAAAAAAGTTTTATGATTTTAGTGTTAGCTGGGTGGTGTGTTAGGAATATAGCAGTGTAGTAATGTTACACACAGGCTAAATGTATACCTTCAGTGTGTCTTTGTGATTTTTTTAGCAGTGTGTGTATATAAGTTTCCAAAAGATGCAATGCACAAGTTTGTAAAACATCTGAACAGCTCTTTCAGTACCACGCACACACACACACACACACACACACACACACATTTGTTGCTCTATCCCCGTGGGAACATCTCATTGACGTAATACTAACCGTAACCCGTACCCTACCCCTAACGGTAACCTAATTCTAACCTGAATCCTATAACCAAGTCTTACCTCTCTACCCCTGAGGACCTCATGGGTAGAGACTGCTTTTTGTCCCCAGATGACACAAGTCCCCATTGGTTATTGTGCATTCAGGTTCAAGTCCCCACTGGGATATAAAAACATGAAACACACACATACACACACACACACACACACACACACACAGTGGAGTTGCTATGGGTAAAAATGTCATTAGCCAGGATGGGTAACTAGCTGGAATGCAGCTCATCTGTACAGGGTCTAGTAGCCTATGGGGAGACCAAACAGATTAGGCATAAGTAATTAAAGAGCTAATTTCCAAAATTTTATATATCCATTTTTATTTTTATTTTTTAAATCTCTTGGTACCTCCAAAGCACCGAGTGGTGTCATTTCATCAATCAAACTTATTTTCTGCACTTTAAATGGTACTGCAGATTTTTGTAGTCCTTTAGTCTCTTGAGAGTTAGACTTGTGGTTTACAGCTGGTGGATATTTTGTTTTTGGAAAAAAACTCTTCTGTTACACGACACTCTACACCGGTATTACTGAAAGAACAATCAATGACATCAAAAAGGAAATAAACATAACTTCACCAAGAAGCACTGAATATACAGTATATATTTTAGAAATACATAGAAAAATATATAGTCATCTGAATGCCCATTGTACAATTTTACACAGTAGTGTCAGAAAAAGAAGTAGAAGTAGAATAGATGTGATACATAGAAAGGATACAGAGTTACTGACTTGCAAGTGATTGCTGTCAGGGTGTTTAGTGTGATAGATGGAGAAGTTTGCGCACTTTGTTTTCATTTTCTCATCCTGTCAAAATGTCCAAATCATCAAATTTTTCGACTGTCATCTGTTTTTATGTTTTTTTAGTCTGATTTTTGCAATGTTGACTTTTGTCCTTTTGGTTGCCAACGGTGTCCACAGACTCTGAATGATTAGTGTCTGTAACACTAACAGGCATTAGGAAATATTGGCAGCAACACTTTCTACCCTGCAAGTACCTGGATTTAACAACAGCCACCAAAGTAAATACCTCTAGTGATGGGGGACCTACAGCACATGTATGTGTTAGACTAAAGCACAAACCTAACTGACAAAGTTAGAAGTACAAAAATGCTACAATAAGTGCACACAGCTTCCGAGTGGGCAGCACTTGACACATTTTAAAGATTTATACTATTTATAGTGTTTCATTTTGTTACGGTTTATGTTTAGTAAAACCATTTACATGAAATATCTGTATTAGTATGTACTGACATTTAGAGGTATACTGATGCCTAACCTGCTGTAAATCAAATAGTAAATGCATATATTTAAACCAAAAAATGCAATTTGAACAAATTACAGTACATGGCGGTGATCATTAATGGATCTTCATCTGAGGTCAACCAAGGACTAAAGCAACTATATCCATGAATGTGTACGATTATTCTAAAGGTAGGTGGTAGGGGCTCACATAACATACTGTATTGTATACTGAAATCACTTTTGAATTTAGAAATGTGAGAAATTTGATCCTATATAAAACCCCATGTGTTACTCTGTTGAATTATACCATAAAACGCATTTACTATTTGACTCACAGTAAGTCAACAGCATAATTTAAAGCCTGTTGAACAATAGTCCACTTTTTTTTAGAAGCATAGCATTTATAATTTTATTTTTATACCTCACCACGTGCCAGTAATGAATAAATAATTTGCATTTTAGAAAAAAATTTAAGTATTTAATACATCACAGGAATCTTTTCATCTCGCTGTTCTTAAAATGAAGATAATTTGGTAGAAATGTATTAATAAAAAGCAGCTTTTGTGAAAAATCAGAAGAAGTGTGGTCTCTCTGATCTCTCTGCTTAGATGCAAAGATCCATGTGAGCATGTAAGTGAGCCTCTTTATGTTAAAATTTCTGTCATGGTAAAGATATAGACATAGTGGAATGTGACTGTGATTCAAGCGTCTTGACAGGAGTCAGTCAATATAAATCTTTAAAAGGCTTGGAGTAGTTAAACATCAGATAGTCCATATAATAGAAGTCGTAGACTCGCTGTCTTTCCAACAAGCTGACCTGTGAAAAGTATTTTTGTGTGATCTGCATAGAGGTCCTCTTCTCAGTTGGGTTCCTATCTTTAAAACTGGGCAGAGTGAGGTTGGGTGGTGCCCCGGTCAATCGCAGAAGAAAGTTGGACTCTTCCTCCATGTTCTCAAATTTGCCGATGAAGTCATAGTCTATGAGACAAGGGTTGCAGAGCTGGTTTGCCTGCTCCCAGTGGATGTCCATTCCCACGGGCCGGTGGACATCCAGCAAGTACTGGACAAACTCCTTGAAAGTGACCCCGCTACCTGTCTTCAGGGCTGTCCAGGACGCGTTCACCCTGTACTTTGAGATGATAGGTTTCCCAAACAGGGAGTGGTAGTAGTTGTTGGGATTTTCAAACTTGTCCCTGTAAGCCGACACCATTCTCTCCAAGGGCTCTCGGACAAACATGACTTTGGTGTAGGTCTCCAGACGGTGCATGATTCCCTGTCGGTCAAAGCTGTCAAGTTTCTTGAGATGGTGGCCATAGTGGACTGTGTCATGTTTAATACTCTGAGCATTGGGGGCCTGGCCTGCCAGCACCATCAGGGTCCTCTTCCAGTTGGAACAGCCCGCCTTGGGCACCTGACAGTACAACAACTTGTACCGGTCCTCCACGAAGAGGTGTTTCACATGATGACGTGTGATGGTTCTGGAGATACTGCTTTTGTACTTAGCACACATCTCTTTCATAAGTTGCCGCCGTGCTTCGAGGATATTGAAGAGCTTTTTCCAGCTCTCAGAGCAAAAAGAACCTAAGGCAGAGGAGGAAACTGAGAATAAGGAGGAAGAAGAGGAAAAGGACGAGGAAACATTTTTGTTGGTGTGATGGATCGGAGGACTTGTTTTCAGCAGTTTGCGGTGTCTTTTGGAGACATGAAGGGAGTCTATGTCCTGCTCCCGAGATCCAGGGGTGGCCATCTGTCTACTCTCCTCAAAGTGTGGGAACTGCATTGGAGGGATCGGGCTGGACAACATGCTGTCCGCTGCTCGAGGGTCCTGATAATTGTCAGTTTTGCCTCTCTCTCTGTCTTGCGTTGATAGAGTCTATAAAACAATGACAACACAGGTTGTAGTAGACAGTAGCAAACATTTTTTTAGACCAAACAAACAGCAAAATTTTCGGATGATAATGTAGTAATTATTTGAAGAACATAAAATGTGTACTTTTTACTTAATGAAGTGGTAAGTGCTTCATTACCAGAAGAAACCACATTTTTACCCCACATGTTGCCTTAAGTACTAAAATAGGCCACTTGATGGTGCTGTTTCACTACATCTTAAACACAGGTCTACGTTACAGGCAAATGTCACACACTGCCCAACGCCATCCATGACCTATCAATAAACTGAGCTGTAATATCATATAAATGTCTTATAAACACTTAATGGTGAATCTAAATTAGAATCATCTACTGCCTGATTATCATCAGATGATGCCCAAGGCCATCCTGCATTCTGACATTTTATTTCAATTAAATGCTGTAATGACATCATAAAACCAATGGACTGGATGTATAATTTTAATTTTACAACAGACAAGGTGATGAAACCATCATGAATCTTGGCTCATCTCCCTACTGACTTAAATGGCCATATTCTTTCATCTGTAGGGACACCTGGAGGGGGCAGGGGGGGAGAGGAGAGCGTCCTCCTCTGTCTGTTTAATGTGCAACGCGAGCACAGGGCAGCAACGTATGCACCAGACATCACGTTCTCCAGGGTTTGCACTGATGTAAGTCTCTCATTGGTGCTGACAGCAGAGATGGGAGCAAGCAGGGGTCAGCTGAGAGAAGGTACAGTAGCACTGGTGCTGCATGTCTGATATAAAAATCTTGTCTATGTATTGTCTTGGAGTCAAACATGATGTTGCTCTGTCTTCTGAACCTGCCTGATTCAAATCCTTGATGCCTTTACAATGCTGTGTGGCAATTTAGGACACATTTTACCCCTTGTAATTGTTTATTCAAACCTTGAAACTTTCATTTTGTTTTCTTCAGACACATGAGAACAATTCAGTTCACAATTATTCTTGTGCAAATAGCTGTCAGGAACTGACTTCTAAATGCAAATTTAGAAGTGCTATCCAGTAGTTACTAATGCTTAAAAGCCTAATGGACTACATAAACTTCTTATGAATCCATGTGACTTTTCTTTACAAATGCTGGCTCATCATTCATCCAGAATGGATGTAAACTAACAAAAAACACATTAATACAAGAAAGGAAGCTTCTACTGTGGAAGATGAACGAAAAAACAATATGTGTGATCACACCGTGAGGAATCTAGGCCTGGCTCGACTGGGATCGTTTACTCAGTAAAGTCCTTCTGGCTGAATGCACAGTGTGAGGTCAGCCTCTCTACACAGATGTTATCAGACACACTGAGAGCTACAAGGCTAACAATCACTTTTTGCACTAGATAACAGTTGGGAGCCACCTGTGTATCTGTGTTTTGGGAGGAACGGAGTAAACACATACCTCTCTGGACTGCCGTGGAGTGCTTCCGAGCTTCACGCCTAGGGAGAGAGAAGAGGAAAAAGACAAGAAAATCAGCACTTAAGCAAACAACATGTATTTTTGTCCTTCCTGGTAAAGAGTCAGGTGCTGATGCATCAGAGGCTGCAATAATTTAACTCTTCCTATTAGTTAGAACATCTACTTTTTACCACTGCTCAACTAGTCCACAGAGGGAAGACAGGTAGCTCTGTCTGTGTAATGAGCTGCCACAAGCATGAAAAGTTGGTAAATGAGTTGTGCTCCCACTAGCATGCACTGAGGAGGAGACAGGGGAGGGTAAGAGCACAAGAAATAGAGGGGAAAACAATATGTTATTTGTTTTAATTTGGGAGGAGAAAGAAAAAAGAAACAAATGAAAGAAATGAAACATAACCAATGAAAGAAAAAGATATAGTTTGTTGACCAGAGTGCAGTTTGTTGAATTTCTAGAGGACAGCAGGGGAGCGATAGAGACATAGAGAGTGGCTTTGTGGCAGCCTTGGGGACAGGTGGTATGTGTATTGGCAGATGTGCAGCAGCAGGACAGACGATGTGTTTAGTGGTCTGTCTCCAGCTGGACATCTCCTTTCCTTAGGTCCCCCCATCCTGCTGATGTATAATCAGGCTGACAGTTCTGAGTGGGGCTGCATGGCTGCTGATGGGGGCAGCGAAGACACCTCTGCCTGAGTGGCCTGTCACTTCCAATTTGAGGGTGGAAGTGATAGGAACCTGCACGAGGACGGGTGGGGTGGTGGGGGTGGTGGGCATGTAGATGCAGGCCGCAACCCTCTCTAAGTGATGAGATCTGCAGATCCCTATCTCACACTTAACAAACGCCTCGGTGGGGAATAAAAACGCGTTGCCCAGATGCAATGTTGTTTTAGATTAGTATGCACTGGAGAGCTCTGTGCTCCTGTCTAGCTCTGCGTGTTAAATCTTTACTTGTCTTCATTCTTCTGAACGAGACACTGGAGGAAGAGGCGGCGGAGGAAAAAAAAAAGAAAAAAGAGTGCGTAGGGAGGTGGCGGGTGACATTTTCTAATCTTGTTTGGATGTTGCAGCGCTATTTGATCTCCTAACCCTAATGAAAGCTTACGTAGGTTGTGCATCTTTGATTTCAGTTTACATTGGCTCATGTGCAGCACATGACTATTTATCATAATATAATGAACACAGATGTCATCACCAGGGAAACACGCCCAAAGGCAACAATAGTAGTCTGCTGTCGTAAACTGACGGCGCTGCACGAGCCCCTTGTAACCCTGACTATCTTGTCAAGGTACAGACTTAGTTATTGATCCTGAAAGCCCCATCAAGGTGGTAATTGAAATCTCCAAAGATTTAATTGGTTCCTTCTAAGAGGTGTTCTGTCCGTTGCTACAAGTTTGTCACGGCTGTTGATGTCAATACATGTCACATATTGTGATTCTATGTGGCACCTTCAAGCAGAGTAAACTTTTAAATCCTTTATTGTGCAAAGGGAAAGCTTTTGAAGCAGGAAGCTAAATGAAATGCAACATGGCTAAATTAAATTCAAGTCCAAGGCACTGAACTGAGCATACATGACACCCTGTTGTCCTGTTCAGCACTCTGCGACACAGGTGTCTTGTTTGAAGTTGTTAAGAAAATGAAACTGACGTTTGTTGATTTGATTAGATAAATCTAGACTTAATATGTTTGCAAAGAGAGCGTGAATTCTGGCTCTGAAAATGCAATAGACTCTAAAGTAAGGAGCCAAAACTATATTTCATGAGAGGAACATTTTTCCATAATAAGTATAACTGAAACAAGTAATATAACAATGTGAACTAAATTTCATGAGGATTTGTAAACATCATTTATCTCTGTAGTGTCTATTTGTTTGAGGGTAATAGTAGCTGTTTGATTGCAATTTCACACTCAGTCAATTCCACTCAGTATAACAATGCTATTGATTTTTACTGCTGAGCAGTGAAACAGTGATAAATTGTCACGACTGGGGTTTCATCTGTGAGATGCAGAAAATTCATCGTGGTAATTCCACATATATATATGTAGTAGCTACAGTAGAAACACAAGTTTTTCCAAAAGATAATTGTGTAAATTATCTAAAAGTGAATGTTTCTTCCAAGATGTAATTGGTTGAGAGGCATTTGGATATTACACTGTCTACAGGTTTGTTGTTACTGTATACTTTACCACTGTATACTTTAGCATTCACAAAAAGGATCATCTGCAGCACTAATGGACAGATTTAGGATAAATGCACCACCTAGGGAATCAAATGGGAAGAGAACAGTCAACCAATATTGTGTTTTATCCCCAGACATAAAATGTCAAACTCTGGTAGTTGTACCTTGGTATCTTCTTTTAGAAGCTCTACGGGGTTTCAGTAAACTTATACAAACACAAAGTGTTCACAGCATAGATAAAAAGAGGGCATCTGATAAGTTTTTGCTTTGATTCTCAGGTTCTTTTGCCGAAAACGGAAGCTGATTCAAAAGCAGAATCGCCTCTTGAGTCTGGTCCCCTGTTGCCCTCTAAAGTAACCTTGAGCAACCACCTCTCTCTCAGAGACAAAACCTTTGAATATTCATGCGGACGACCCAGCATTACTGCAAGGATCCATATAAGCAAGGGCCACATCATTAGCAGATCCATTATCATCCTTCCTCTCAAAGATCCTTGTACAACTCTCTAACAGAGACACACATCAAACATCCTTCTCCCTGCCACTGCTGCCGAGGAGGAGCAAAGGACAAAAACAATGTGAAATAATGAGCTTGTTAAGTGAAAGATTGTGGTCCCTATGTTCTGGGAGAACTTGTTAAATGCCTGTTTTTAACCAGAGACAGACCAGGAGGGTGCTAAAAGCCAGACAAGGCGTGTCCTCCTCCAGCCCACTATTCAGACTAGGCAGTCATGCTGCGCCACCATAAACCTTTCATTAGTCATTCAGCACACTGAGCCACTGTGACCCCAACCAGCTGCACTCTTCTCTCTACCCAACGAACCACCCACACCTGCACTCTGCACACATACTCCTCCTTCACTTGACTCTGTGTGGGAATACAGGGCTCTGGCATGCTGGTGTGGTTTATCAGAGGAAAAACGCTTGAGAACAGAGGTATTAGGCTTTAAGCTCTGGCCCATTGATGTTTTAACTTGTTGTGGTAAGAGATAAAACGATGTTTCAGTCGGTGCTGAAATCCTCCAGGATGGGGCCAGAGAGCGCAGCAGTTGGGGAGGAGGAGGTGATGGGTGAGCAATCAGTGATTCAGGATTGAAGACATGCTTGCAGTGGCTCTGTAACAACCAAACACGGGGAGTCTAAAATTTGTATGTATCATCATCTGAAGACTGGCTTGTGTTGTGAAGGAAGGTATTGGAAGCTTAAAGATTTTCTAAGGCATTCACAACTCAAAGCACAGGTTTGGCAAATGATGAATAAATAACACATCTTTAATCCAAGTGATTTCAATGTACTGTAAATGAAACAAACAACCAGGACACCAAGAAACAGACTGTTCCCCCTGTTTCCTTCCTGTAGTAGAAGGAACAATGACGCCATACCCGACTCATTCAGTAACTAGGATTTTGTATTAGAAGAGATGAATGCCAACAAACACTGTAATTTAATTTGACTAATTGACGTTTTACATAACGAGTCTGTCCAATCAGAGGTCTAGGATTCAGTTACTAAGGGTCACAGACTGACTTCAGCCAAGTCCATAATTCACAATTTACGTCCCTGCTACATTTGACAGCTAGAGTCACTGCTTACATTACAGATTAATATTTCATATACAAACCATATAATCACATTTTAAAATATGATGCCGTACCATATGGTAAACTACCCAATAGTATATAGAGTTCTATAGAATATAGATATAAAATATGACACTGAATTGCTGCTTACAGTAATTACATTAATGTATCATCATCATAATATTCTCTTTACGGTCTTTCAGTTCTGTTTTTGGTCTCAACCAACTCTTGAGAGAAATATCTGGCTCTGTAGCTACTAAATGCTCCACTATGTCTGCTGTTTAGTGCTGGGAAGGTAGCGCAAAGTTTTCGGAGCTTCCATTTTTCTGAAAATAGCTGCGTTAGAGCAGTGAGACTAAACCAAAACAGTGAAGTTGTGGACCTGAAAACCAAAACTATATGCTAAAATATGCTATAAATCTTTGTAGACCTGAGGGGAACTGCAGAGCTTGGTTGATAATTCCCTGTGGGTTTGTTAGTATGAGAGTGACCTCTTACATATACATACAACTCATGTGATCAGTTGTTAATATAAAAATATTGATGGCTGGTTTCAGTATATATTGCTGATGAAACTTCTGTACTTGAGTAACAGTATAAATGCAGATCTTAAAATTGGAATGGAGTGTTATTACATTGTGGTATTAGTAGTTTTTCTCGAGTACAGGATTTGAATATTTCTTCCACCACTACCAAAGCCAACATTCAGCATCAGTGCTGTAATGCTTGTCTGCTGATTGGGTTGACTGACAATCAAATGCCTGTCAGCTACATATTTTCCTTCTCTTTTTAAAATGCATGTGCCACTGTAGCAGAGATGCTATTTTGTGTTAGCAATTTTTTTTTATATATATAATAAACCTTATATATATATTTAATATATCTACAGGGGCCTTAACTAAACATTACTTTTCCTGGTGCCGAGACATCTGGCAATTAAAATCTTTTACTCCTCTGTCACTGAAATTCCCACTCTCCTTCTCTTACCTATTGGACTATTCACTGATGGAGCACAGTGCCATGAGCAAGCGACTGGCATCAGAAGACCACCTACAAAAGTTTTAAAGCATCAGACATGAAATGTCTCTTCTTAGGCCAAACGACAAAGCTGTATTCATTATTATTGATGTATTGTATTGTTGTTGCATGGTGATAGCTTTTGTATTCATTTGACATTTCTGTTTCTGGCTCTGTGTTCTAATTACACCTTATTAGTCTGTATTGTCTGTTGTTTGTTTCAAACACAGGGTAATTGTAGGCTGGAGATTTA